CGCACATTTCGCGAAATGCGACAAAGAAACAGTTGCAGGGTATTAGTTACGCAGTGACCGAGTGTCTGGCTGCTACGTGTAGGAATTCGAGGAAACCGGGGAAATGCAAGAAGCAGTGTTCTGGTGTCAGTTTGCTGTGGAATCAGACGACGCCTGATATTCAGGGTATCGATCAATGTCTTGATACGCTGTGTCAGGGTGAATACAATTCCTTGCCATATGCTGATAGTGATGTCGTTGGTATCGGGGTAGGTCGTCGAGGATGAGTTCTTTTTCTGCGAGTTTGTTCAATTGACATCCACGGACAGGTCTTCGCATCATACATCTTGCAATGCGTATTCGTCCTGATAATATGGTTTGGTCTCACAACCATCCAAGTACCCAAATTGCTGAAAAAGAATAAGAACAAGAAAAAGAAGCAGGAGACGAAGACAAAACCCAGTCCCAAAGAAACTGAAGAGCATCAGCAGCACCAGCAGACACAGAACCACCACTCAGTCCCCTCGTCCTCACCACCACCCCCCCCCCCCCCCCCATACCCAAAACCAAACGATCCCATCGCCGCAACCTCCTCATCCTTCTAATCCAATTCCACAAATCCCAATGCTACTTCAGCGCCACTGTGCAAACCGCATCCTTCACCTTCGGCATCTTCAACGCCGACATGCTCAACGTCTTCCTGCTCCTCCCCCTCACCACAAACGGCATCCTACCCATCGTCCTCGCCTACATTCTGCTGATCCGCCACCACAAAGCCACACCCGACATCACCGTCCTAACAACCATATGCTGGATCCTCGCCTCCGTCGTCTACTGGATCTTATACTCCCACGTCATTCCCATAAACGGGGAGATTCAGAATAAAAAGGCAAATTACAGTGCGTAAGAGCAGTTCATGTATAAGCTTAGTGCGCTAGAGGCGTGTGGCGGGTATTCGGCCCTGGCGGTTTGTCCGCAGAATTTTCTGTTGGGCAAGGATGAGATTGTTAGGGCGTCGTGGAGGCTGAGGACACTGACGCCACTTATTTGGGCGGTGTCGTCGGCTTTGCTGTTTGTGGCCGTGGGGAGTGAGGTGATGAGGTGGCGGAGCGAGGGCAAGTATCATGCCGTGGAGCAGGAGGCTGGGGTGAAGGAGGGGGGTCAGCGTGGCAAGGAAGTGTCGAAGCAGGGGCATGGTACACGATCGCTGTTTGCGAATAGGGTAGTGTACGGAATCGTTTCGGTGGCTTCCTTGGCAGGCTTAGGTATGCAGCTTTCCTTGCTGTCCGTGTCGTTGTCGCTCAAGATGACGGACGCACTCGATTGGACGTTTGGGCAGATTGTGGCTATTGCTATTTGGACGCCTCCGCTACTTGGCTACGTCTATGACGAGGCAAAGACATTCATGCCGGAGAGGTTCAGAGAACCGGATGAACTGGACTGAATTTTTGAGCATGTCAGCTCATGTAGGGTAGGCTATCGATTTTCTTAGGCTTCCAAGCAGCTCTTTTCATTTTTGATTCATGACCAGGAGTAAACGTGCAGATATAAGTAGTCTAGGGTGGTGTTGAATCTTTCAAGGGGGTATCTTCTTCACAAAGCCTATACTCTATACATCCGTCAACAGTCTTTCGCATGAACCATGCGTCACCGGCATATGGAGCCAGCGTCCTGGTAGAAAACCCCCAAATCACCATGTCGATGTTTGCGACGCCAAAGAGGCATGCGCGTGGGACTTTCGTATTCTCTCGTGGTATCGTGACCGACAGGATACTTTGCGCGTGTTGATACTAGACTGAGGACTTCGCTAGCCTAGTCTGTGGCTGAGGAGGCAGCCTGGGGACCGTGCTTCGAACGTGAGGGGTACATGTACAGAGCTGAGGCTCATCAACCCGCAGCCTCCTTGACCTTGTTGGCGGCGTTGGGCGGTTCATCGATGAACTGTGGTGGCGCTGCATCGTCCAACATGAAGTTTGGCACGCCCGATGATTCGCCAATGCCCTCAAAGTCGACTTCGTCGCCTAACGCCTCCAGCTCCGCATCCAATTCAGATTCGTCTACATCCTCGGGCACATCGTAGCTGCGGCTTATCGCGTCTTGTATGTCGTTGCCCATGTCCATGAGGTCGGCCATCTCGTCTTGAAGTTTATCGATCTTATCGATGTTAACCTTGCCATATTGTTTGCGCAGTTCTTTTGTGGTCGTCTTCATTGCGTCGATGGTAGTCATGGTATTCTTGAGATTGTCTTGCATCATGCCAGCCTGCTCCATATTCCACGATTGTGCCTGCAGCTGGTCGCGCTGTGCCTCGTACTGCTTGCGCTGTTGGAGCACTTTCAGCGCCTTTTGCTTGATTGCCGTCTTGCCGGGGCCGTCGCGCATCTTGGAAAGCTTTTGCTGGTATGTCGAAAGTTCAGCGTTGAGTTTTGCGAGCTTGACGTCGAGACTCTCTACGCGCGTGTCGATCTGGGATGGTTAGAATGGAAGGGGCAACGGCTAGGGTGTATAACGTACGTTGGAGATGGCACTGTTGAGCGTCGGCTTGGGCGCCGTGCTCTTTGCTCCGAAGAGGCGGTTCATACTGGAGGTGTTTGATTGTGTTTGATTGTGTTTGATCGGGAGAGGGTTGTTGTTTTGACGGCGAAGAGAGTGCGATATAAAAGTGTTAGTGGTGGTACGATGGAGTGCAGCCTGGTGAGCGTGGGGTGAATGTTGTGGACACCCGGGCAGCATTATGGTCGTAGCTCCGGCAGGTCCCGCAACCTTTGGAACGTCATCGCTTGTCACGTGCCGCACTACTTTACCGGGTGGCTACATGAACTTGCACCAACACAGCGTTCGGTGGAAAGATTGTGGTGAGCGACTCATGACCTGCCGATGGATTGGCATTGTTGGGTCAGTGGCCTCATAGTCCGGGCATTTTCAACTGCCACTACCAGACAGTCAGTCTTGTCTGGTTCGGGCAGCAACACGAAGATGAAGTAGTGCCGTCTCCAAGGCTGACATGCAGTCGTCGGTACAAGTTTAGCCATGCCAGTGACCATGTCCAGTCGATATACTATGTTTGCGACAGTGCCGACGGCGCGGCGGATATCAAGGAGGATCTGCGACGTCGTCTGCACGCTACCAGTCCTACGCAGCTGCCACTAGGCCAGGCCTATCTATCACCACAAACTACGATACCCTCGCACAACACGGCAGCTTCCAAGCGTCTCATCTGCCTTTTTTGCCCGCGGCCCTTTGTATTCGTAACGACCCGTCACGAATTGCCGGTGCATGGGTTGAATTGGGAGTGCTGCGTGCCTTTCGCTTGCTATTGCCCTTCTCCCCCGCGGCCTGTTCGCTAGCAGGTACCTGTCCCACGTAGGCACGCTGCTCAAGCCACTCGACGCGCCTGCTGCCTCCTCGCTCGAGTGCTCCTGCTAACAAAGGCCCCTCCTGGCTAGTTTTCGCATTGGCCTCAGACTCTCCATGCCGCTTTCGTCGCCGTTGTAAATCTACGCATGTGCCCCGCCGCCCTACATCAGCACTCGAGTCCCTCGCCCGGCCCTTCTCCTGCCCCGCCCTTGTAGCCGCAAACACCGCAAACCACCATGTTTTGGCGCTTCGGCGGGTATGCCCAGCTCTCGTCGCTGGACAGTATTCTCGACAAGCCTGACGTCACCGTCGAGGAGCTGCTAGACGAGTCAGATCTGATCCAGGAGCTTAAGCAGCAGAACTCGAAGCTTATAGAATACCTTCGTGACGAGAATGTCTTGGAGCGCCTCCTTCGTTATGTCATCGCCGCAAGACCTCACTCGCCGCCCGATGATGAGACGGGTACGTCGCCTGCTGCACATGAACCGAGGAGTCCCAGCCGAGCTGGCTTCTTCGGCAAGGTCAGGGCTCGCTCAACGTCGACAGCCAAGTCGGACGCAGGCGACACCGAGGAGTCTAAAGAGGAACGTCAGCGCATGAAGTACGCATACGTCTCGTGCGAAATCTTGTCCTCAGAAGTGTGGTCGATATCAGAGGCCGTCCTTGAGAACCAGGACACGCTGCGCCAGTTCTGGGCCTACATCAAGCAGCCCGCGCCTCTCGACCCAGTACAGGCCGGCTACTTCACCAAGGTGAATGAGTCACTGCTCGATCGCAAGATGGAGGAAATGCTGGACTTCTTCAAATCTCTCGACAATGTCGTTACAGACATGCTACAACACGTCGACTGTCCTGTCATCATGGACCTGCTATTGAAGATCATCAGCCTTGAGAAGAGTGAGGGTGGACAAGGCATTGTTGACGTACGTTACTCCGCATGCGCTCGCATACACAGCTAATAGAGATATAGTGGTTACAACAGCAGAACCTCGTTCCCCGCTTGATCGGCTTCCTCGCTCCTGACCAGACCACCTCGACCCAAACCTCAGCTGGCGACTTCCTCAAGGCTATCATCACCATATCCGCAAACGCAACCACACAGGATCAGTCTGTAATAGGACCGAACGAGCTGACGCGCCAACTCGTCTCAGAATCATGTCTCAAGCAACTCATAGAATTCATGCTACAAGGCGGCAACCCTCTGACGGTCGGCGTGGGCATCATCATCGAAGTCATCAGAAAAAACAATTCCGACTACGACCTGGAGAACCAAATTGGTCCGGTTCCCAAGAACTCAGATCCCATCTACCTAGGCACTCTGCTCCGCCAATTCGCAAACCACATTCCGCAGTTCATGGAGCTCGTAAACAGTTCTAGTCAGATTGTTACGCAAACAGATGGCAGCACCACCAGGAAGAAGCGAGAGCTCAAAACGGCATTTGGCGAGAAGATAGAGCCACTTGGCTTTGACCGTTTCAAGACGTGTGAGCTGATGGCCGAGCTCCTGCATTGCAGCAACATGGCTCTACTCAACGAACGAGGAAGCGAAGCTGAGGTCCGAAGACGAGATGCCGAGCGGGAGCGTCTGAAAGCTGACGGAAAGCTAACTTCGGCCAACGCCGGTAATCTTGGTGACTTCTCTACTAGTGTCGACAGCCAAGGCTTTCATCATGCTCGGGCCCCTAGCATGGACTCCACTGCAGAGATAAAGCCCCTACATGTGCAGAACAGTTCTGAAGATGACTTTGAAAAAGTCATTGCACCCGAGGTTGCCTCAGATACACCAAAGGATACTTCAAGCGAAAAGGAACAAATCGGTGAGCCATTGGAGCCTTCACCGAAAGTTGCGCCAAGAGACGCACCAAGCGAGCCGTCTGCTGGTAAGCCCGTGGGTGACGACGGCGAATTCGTTGACGAGCCCCTCACGCCACCCAAAGATACGGCAGCATCTGCTGAAGCGGCTACCTCTCCAGCTAAGCCTGCAGACGATGCGGAGTCCCCTACATCGGCAGGATTGTCTGCCAAGGTCGATGATCTCGGCCTGGATAACGACACCGTTATGAATGACCGCCAAGAAGCACCAGAGCCTCCAAAGACCGAGCAGCCCGAAGAGACCAAGCCCGTCCTACCATCACTTTTAACACAGCAACTCAGCCAAAGCGCGGAACCCGTCACTCTCGAGCCAATAGAGAATCTATCACCCCACCCAGACGACAAACCAGCGCCACTGTTCGCGGGTAAGAACCGTGACAGTAGCAAATCTCCTGCCAAGATCGATACCTCGCGATTCACTGCACCTGCACCACCCGAATCAGATCTTTCCGAAATCACCCCCATCGATGAATCCCAAAGTGTACGCTCTGTGGTGTTCGGTGGTGCAGAAGAGGCTGTAGGATTCGAGATTGACATTGACGGAACACCTGTTGTGGGCGATTTACTTAAAATCACTTTCGTTGAGAACAAGGTTGTGCCCACTATACTAGTAAGTTTGTCTTCTAATTTCTGTACAGCACTCACGACTAATATCCCTAGGACTTCTTCTTCCGGTTTCCATGGAACAACTTCTTACACAATGTCGTATACGATGTAGTACAGCAGGTCTTCAACGGACAGATGGACCGTGGATACAACCGGCAATTAGCGATCGATCTTTTCGACAGTGGAGGGATTACTGAGCGAATCATCAAAGGCCAGCAGGAGAGCGACAGGTCTCACAAAGAGACGCACATGCGACTAGGATACATGGGACATCTCACCCTGATCGCGGAAGAGGTGTTGAAATTTACGGAGCGACATACCGACGAGGTCCTTTCACAGATGGTGTTAGACAAGGTCCACGCCGAAGACTGGGTACATTATGTCGAACACATCTTGTCGGAAACACGAGAGCGCGACAACGCCATTCTGGGAGGCGTACGACCCGACATGAGTGTCGGCCCCAGACAGGCCGTGCTCAACGCCGTCAACGCGGCAAACAATTTCGGAAACGACAGTGGCGGACTCTCCAACGCTAGCCTCGCCAACAACGGCAATATAGGCCTCGACAGCATGGAGCTCACCAGTGCTGGTGACACTGGAGGTGGTGGGTACACCTTCAGCGGAGGCTCCTTGCTTAGTGGCTTTACTAACTCGAGTGACGAAGAAGACGAAGACATGGACGATGTCGACACCGAAAGAGAGCGAGAACAACGACAGGGACCTGTCGACGATTCCGAACAAGTGGGTGAAATCTCATTTGACGATGCTGATATGGACTATCGATAATCCACACCACCCCGACCCACACACTACTGCCGCGATCGTTTCCCATCCGCGCTTGGTGCGTTTCCTTTTCTTATACTCGTTTGTATCATGAGATGGGCAGGCAGAGGGGTTACAGGCTAGATTTTGGACCGGTCATCGTTTCCTCTGTTCCTACATTCCTTCGCCATCCGCCGGGGTGTATGATACATGTAGTAATACGCATCGTGAGATGTGATTCTCTCATCTCCTTTGTGTGATGCACGATTGGGTGACTGGTCTTATAGTCTGGCAGGTCCTTTTGCTCCTACTCTTCACATCACCATGTACTCCATTTAGAATTTGTTCCTTCTCGTGTATTCTTTTTGCTGGCGTTCCACCTCCACTTCACTGATGTAATAGGGCTAGCTTCTAGATCTTCTACTAACATGACGTGTAAACAGCCAAACATTCCACCACCGCTTCAAATTCCGCCTTCTCGAGCGCGTCGCCAGTTCGCCCTCCGCCTAGCTCAACGGAAAGCACAGCTCGAATCAACACGCGAGGTCGAAGAAGATCCAGACGATCCATCAGCCCCAAAGACGCAAGAACAAGAAGAGCGCGAAGGCCACCAGCGATTTGCCCGCATGTTCGAGGGCATTGAAGACTCATCCGACGATGATAGTCTGCACAGCATCGAAGGCATGGGCGATGACGAAGACAGCATTGTAGGTCGTATTGAAGTTGAGGGCCAGGAAGTGGGTAGCCGAAGTCCGCAAAAGTTTGGCAGTCCAGAGAAGGATAGGGCAGGCGGTGGTGGTGTGGAAAGGAAGGACAGCGGTGATAGTGAGCAGTCAGTCGTTGTTTAGTTTTGAGATTTTGTTTGTGATGTAATTGGATACAAGATGGATGATTATGCGAATGTCACAGGTTGACGCATCGCGTTGTTGATTGGCGCATGATGTTGGCATAGGGTCACGCAGCATGAATGGATACGTATATTGTCGGTAGCAATGCATAGTTACGAGATACCCCTCGGCTTCATTCACTTGGATATCACACTCGGGCAAGGCAGTATCTCTTAGTGCCTCCTAACATGGCTGTTCTGTAAACTTTGAAAATGACAAGATTGCACCTGCCGTCCGTGAGGGGAGCTCACCACGTGACTCGGTGATGCGCTAAATTCGTAGCGCGTTCTCGTAGAGTTCATCTTCTCCGACAACAGTTGACCACAAACAGTCTCGCAATTCCAACATGTCTGCACATCCAGATAGAGCTCGCCCGGAGCCTAATCGGCGTTCCTCCACGGCTCCAAAACGCACGTCTATGCTCCCCAAGCCCTCCTCGGTCTTCCTAGATTCATCCGTCCTTATCGCTCAACACGCCCAACTCACCGGCACACAACCCATAACAATTGGCCCAAACACCGTCTTGCACCCGCACTGCAAGCTCAGCAGCGCATTGGCGCCTGTTGTTCTTGGTGAGGGTTGTGTCGTCTTCGAGCGGGCAAAAGTTGGTGTGGGAATGAGTGCTGAGCTCGATGCTGCAAGCCGGCGGAGCAGCGTGGCGCCGGTACGCATTGTTGCAAATGCAAGGGAGTCTATGCGAAGCGAGGGCACTTTTCTGGGGAAAAACGTTGTTGTGGAGTCGAACGCAATCGTTGAGGCTGCCGAGGTTGGCGAGGGTAGTGTGATTGAGGTGGGTGCTGTAGTTGGGAGGGGTAGTATCATTGGAAAGGTGTGTATACCTAAAATGACCTCATGATGTTCCGAAGCTCATACGTAACAGTACTGCACTATCTCCTCGTCGTCGTATCTACCTCCGAATACACGTTTACCAGATTATACCGTCGTCTTCAGCGGGTCGCGGCAGCGGATTGACAGAACACTGCAGTTACGCCCTGAGATACTGGACGCGAAGATGGCAGTTCATGCGAAGCAGTTGGATATGTTTAAGAAATTGATACCGAACAACATTGCGAAGTGGGCGTAATCCACAGTCCTTGTATTCAAGACACCGTACTAAGTGCGTGCATGGAAATAACGGCAAGCACCATATCGATACTCTATCAATACGTTTGGACATTATCTTATGGCGGTATAGTATTGTCTTACATGGAAAATCCAAAAGTGGGTCAACCTACAAGAGATCCATGGTACAGTACCAAAAGCGAGCCACCCAAGACTACCTTTTTGTAAGGCAGCAAAATGAAATCAGGAAACTCAACCATGGTAGGCATCTCTTTAATCATACGCTATAAATTTTGTGAGTTGTCGAAAGGGCTTATATACTCTTCCATCCCAGCCTTCCATACTCCAAACTACCACATCCAAAAGACTTCAAACAATTACATCGACGCAGCGAATTCGCGATCGAAAAGAACTCCTACTCCGGCTTCTCATACCCCAGACAGAAAGAAAAGAAAGAAAAGTCCAATAATGGTATACTCCAGCCTCGCTGCCGGCCGCGTCCAAGGCATAGAAGTATGCCCCATGCCCTACGACGACCCCGACTGTCCCATCTGCCTAGAGCGCTACCAGTCCAACGCGCTCGTCCTCTACAACGCCGAGTACGCTGCTTCTTCCATCTCACGCGCAGCCAAACTCACTCGCGCTGTCGCCTCCAAACCCGCAGACCACTCACCCCTCAAACTTCCCTGCTGCCGCAACAAAATCTGCCGAGAATGCCTGAACGCCTGGCTCAGCGTATCAGACACATGTCCCATTTGCCGAGGCAAACTCGTCGTGCCGCCGCCGCTCGTGAGAATGCGTCGTTTTATCGATTGGGTCCTCGGGCTGGTCAACTTTGAGTCTCCTGTGGTTGTTGTGCATCCTCCTCCTCCGTCTGAGGCGGCACATGCCCCATCTAACGGTGAGCTTGTTATTTATATTGTTTTTTGTCTTCTGGTGATATTGGGGGAGTGGAGAGTGTCCATGAGACTGAGGTGAGTTATCCTTGAGTTTTGAGGATTTACTCTACTTTTGTAATTCATTTGGTCTTGTTACATATAGCAGCATTATAGTGTAGTCCAGCAGTGGACTAAACGGCTGTGTCCTTTTTTTTTGGCTTACACCCGCGAGTTCAGAATGATCATCCAACTAACGAGATTTCACAGATGTCTACTCTGACTCCGATGATTCAGATGATAGCCGTAACTACGACTATGAATTGTACCACGACGAAGATTATGGGGTCTTGCCGCTTTTCTGCGGGTGGGAGGAATGCTGGACGGATCTCTGGAGAGATTAAGGCTTTCTAGAGGGGAACGCGCTGGGATGTTAGACTGCAGGTGTGCGCCTTCATTCTTTGCGATTTTTTGTAGCGATGGAGCGTGGATGGTTAGGTGGTGGGAGGTAGAAAGATTGCTACGTGAAGTGGTAGCGTTCAAAGCAAGGCAGGAAAGGCTATCAAGAGCACATTTTCTAGATTAATTCGTTGTGTAATATTCACTTTGAAGTGGTATCATCAAAATTTCTCGATTTAGTAGTCATCTTTCATCACAACCGCCTTTCGTTCTAGTATTATTCTTACGACGTCCCCTCCTTTGTCACAGAGAGCTTCTACCTACTACCACATGCCTTTGTCAAGATTTATCACAAAGCATCAACAAAGCCCTATAGATAAGAGTGAAAAAGCTCCATAGAGCTCTCATCAAAATCATGTAATCGATGGTCCTTCAGTTTGGTACGCCCAAGTACGGGTACCGTGGTACTTGTAAAGGGGATTGAAAATCTCAGCGCTTCGCCAATGTATCAATCTAAGCCCTATACAAATTCCATGTATCGATCATACACCAGCAACAGGATATCATTACCCCCCCCCCCCCCAAAAGAAAACGCCAACATAACATTGTCTAAGAATTACCCCCTGCCATTACTGCCACCGAAACGCATCCCCCGGGATAAAGAAATTCGCATCTTCAAATGTAATGACGCGGTCCATGTCGAGGAAATGCGAATCCATCAGGGCATCTGAAAGATTGAGTAGAGATTGATCTTGCACGCTCTGCTGATTGCCTGGTGTGACAATCGTGTTGTAAGGAGGAAGAGGCGAGCCGGCTGTTGGTGTGGGATTGGCGCTGATTTGAGGAACAGACAGGGCGTGGTTGGGGTAGTTTGTAGGTACGTAGGGAGACTGATATACGTGGGGTACTCCACTTGGCGATAGAGAATGCGCGGTTGGTATGCGACCATGGTTTTGATCGTATCTTGATGGGGATGAAGCGGCTATGGATCTTGTCTTGTCCGCGGGTGGTACCTGTCTTGGGCTCAGCATTGATTGGGCGCTGTGGACACTGTTGTTGCGTCCGTGGAGTCTCATCAACGTCGGGTCGTGGGCAAGGCTTCCAGAGCGGGGTTTAGGCGTGGCTGCATAGGTTGGACTGGAATATGTCTGTGGGTCTAGTGCAAGTCCCGCGTGGTCGTAAAAGTCGAACCGGAAGTTGGGGTCGTTTTTACAGGCTTCTAGTAATTGCTCGAGGTGGTCGGCGTACATGCCAGCTTGATTGCAGGGTTTCGTGTTTACTTCGCTTTTGCCCCTCCATCTTGTTGCCATTTCCCAGAGATCGCGGACCAGGCGTTGGAATTCGGGTCGTAGAGGTTGTCGTGAGGCTTGGTGATCAAAAAGCAACGCTTTAGCTGCAACGAATGCGCAAAACGAGAACTGTACGTTGACAAACGGTATTAGAGTATGGGCGAGGAATTTGCCGACAATGTTGGAGGTCTCGACAGCAGCTAGCTCGCATGTTTGAATGCTGCATTCCTTGGGCAGGGCCACGAAGCCACTCCATGCACGGGGCGGGTATCCGATAGGATGGTGGAGAAGAATCATCGACGTGTTATGCGTGATATGCGCCAGTGTGAGATTCGGATCCATATCCACAACGGCTCTGTCAGGAGAAATATTTGAATCCTTCCATCTGGGTGGCAGGAACATCTTCCATTGCACAAGCCTTAGATCCAGCTCTTTAAAGCGAGTCAACCAACTGACAGCATGCTCTTTGTCCTGCCAATTGATCCTTTGCTGGAGAAAAAACGTTGTAACCTGGCTCAGACTCTCGGTTGCTTCAACGCAATACGCAAATGCCCCAAGCTTGGATGCATCAATATAACCATTGGCTGACATCGGACTAGCACCCTGAGGCTGATCAATCCGTGGGTCCTCGTCGTTGTATTGCGCAGGTACATTTGCCAAAGAGCGCCCTATCCGAGCTGCTGCTTTATTCCATATACCAAAGTACGGCGTTGTAACGGGCTCTTCACGCGTAAAGTATCCACCATCTGCTGGTAATCTTCGATGTACGTCATCAGCTGTCAGGCTCGTGTTCCAACCAGTGGACGCTGAACAAAACCGATCGAGCAGAAAGATGACCCAGAACAGTCGCCGACGCTCTTCCAGTTCTGTCCAGTCGTTTGAAGGTTTTACCAGACGCACAGGCTCCATAAGCGATCCGGCCTGCGAAGTTGATGGTTCGACCGTAAGCTGCAGATAGTCAATCGTCCTAGTGAGCGATCCGATCAGCGGCCATGCTCTTTCGGGCTGGCCATCATTGAGGAGATCAAAGACCAGAAAGACAAGGGCCTGTAGGCTTTCGATGGTAACATTGCGCATTGCGTGCGTCTCTACAATCATACGAGAAACTCTGGTCTGCTGACTTATCTGGTCGCCATCCATGAACAACACATTAGCATCCATGTGCCGCAGGGTAACAGCAACCAACGCATGGAGGACGAGCACGTGTCCAGCTTCTTGTGAGCCTTGGCGTACGCGATCTTGAAGTCTTTTCTTGTGTATATAAGGGATCCAATGATGAAAAGAGACGCAGAAGAAGTCTGCAACTTTTTCGAGAAGTGGCTGGGGCGGCAGGTGTTCTGCAATGTCGACATTCTCAAATGGAAATAGGCGATTCTCGCTGACTGGCATCTCAAGGCGTCGCTTCAATGGATTTGACGCTACATTTTCTTCTCGTACCCCGGTTACATTCTCTGTGGCTTTGGCTAAGCGGCGATACTCAGGGGGAGGTTCGGCGCTCCGAACAACTTCTTCGACACGGGGCGTGACTTCCCTCGCGGCATCAGAATGCCCGGGACTGACGGTATGATTGTTGGCAGTCGCGCCATCATCCTTAAACTGAGTCCGGATTTCTCCTTTGTCGTCCAAGAGGATTTTCTCTAGAAAGGCTTGTTTGAGTGAGATGAGGTTCAGCAAAAGAGGAACGCTATCATACCGACGCGACGCGTTAACGCCTCAACCGCGCCGGGCTTGAGGCCGGGCTTGTGTCTCGGCTGGTATTGGCATTCGGAGGCTTTGCCGAAGATCAGCAAGGGACACTGAAAATCCGCGCAAAAAAACTTACACAGCCGCAAGCAATGCGAACAAGAGGGTGTTTCTCGCGAGCAACGTAGCTTACGTTGCTTACAACTAACGCACGCGGGATTATCACCGCCGACGGAAATGGGCCCGTCTTCTTCTCCTGCTTGGCTTCCACTGCCAACCGAGTAATTCGTCCACCCAGTCATGTTGACATCACCGCAGCATCACGGAAGCGTTGGTAGAAAGAAGCAATTGGTGAAGGATGCAAAGGACGGCGGGCATCGGGATAACTGAAGGCTTTCCCCACACTCTAACCCCGCAAATATATTAGCTTGTTTTCATCTCGGCAATTCACTCCACTTGTACAGACGGTCAGACGCTGACATGGAAAGTTTCGGGGTAAATTACTATGATTCTGGACCATTGCGACTGGTGCGCACGGATCCTTTACCGCGTGGGCGACAAAATGGGTTGCATATGCAATGCACAAGGGCTTAGCTGCTTGTCCGCGCCACGCGCCACTCAACGACCACAAGCCACAGTATCGCATTGAAGTACTTGACTGTATGAAGATACTCCCGGATGGTCGCATCAAACACCTCTTTATTGACAGATACACGTTGCGACCGGATTTTCGCCCAGCTAAGAGCCATTGACGCGCTGGTGCGTGTGCGCGTGGTATTTCCAAGAAGACCTTCGTGTAATCGTGCCAAATCTTACTACACATGTGTAGTCAACATTCTCAGCCAAAGCAATTCCACTGATGTGAACTTGCTATTGAAGATGCCATTGTGTTCAGTACTATAACAAAGACCGATGCAGCATCATGTTGCTAAACCTTGTACCTCTAAATTTTGGCAGTGTTGTATTCACATCGACTGCGACAATAGACGAGACAATCATGTGTAGGGATGATGATACTAGCTAACAGATACGATGCATCGCAATCAAGTAAAACATCAACAGAAACATTGTCGTACAATACCCAGGTAGCATGTAGAACAGAGGTGAAGGCAGATCGAAGAACCTGCTGCCTATCACATGACAGACTCACCGCGCACCTTCCCACTCAGCAGTTCTTTTACCATTGTCTTTTAGGCAGCCATCACGAGTCTGCGTCGCTGGCAATTCTCCAATCTTCCCCACAGTTCCCATATAAGAATCTTCTGTTCCCCCACACAACTCTCCCACCTACATTCTCACAGCCTACATCAACCTCGCTGCCAGACAAATACCACCAGAACCAGAAGCTCCACACAAGCTACCACAAGCTAACTTGCATACTACAAGCCCTACAAGCCTCCCGGTACTCGAGTACCTCAACAACCTCAGGAGTATACAAGCACCCCCACCTCCTCAAAACCGCAGCTTCTCAGTCACCCCGGGAGCATACAAGCACCCAGAAGACCCACGCACACGACCCAAAACGGTCACTGACTTGTTCCTCGCCTCACCATCTACTCACCAAACCCACCCTCACAACACCTCGACACCCTCCCCGCACCTGCCACCATGTGCACCGCCACGGTCCGCCACTGCACCAACTGCGGCATGGACTTTACGCGTCCACCTACTCTGTGCGCAGAGGCCGAAGTGAGCGGTCGCCGCTGCAAGGCCGACAGCGTGGACGAAGAGGGCAAGCCCAAGAACAAGCATGTTGCGCTTCGCGTGACGTGCTCGGTTGCGTGCCGCGAGGACCAGAGCAAGAAGGACCAGCATGTCGAGTAGGGAGGGCGCCAGGGCGCGGGCAAGGATGGGTCTTCCGAGAGACAGGAAAATCCCTGATCAGATAGGATGAGCAACGACGACATGGCTTACGTATGACATGATATGATAATAAGGAATACTAGCACCTTAACCCTGCACGCGTGTGTCTGCAATGTCAAAAGCAATTTCTCCGTGATGTGAAACGAGCATAATTTTAAAATACTTAGTATTCAATCTAGCGAAAAACATTTGCAAACCAGCTAATCGTGCAAAAAGTGGACATCGGTATATCTCTCTCTCCCTTTTCAAATAAACCCAAGACATTCGGCATCTGTATGCAATACTGAACAAGGAGTAATACAGGCAAGCAGTGACGATGGCATCAATCTGCTGCGCATGAGCGGACGTGTCTTTTTGTAACAAGCAAGAGTCAGAGGCTACACAGCTTGAAGCTATTGCTGAAGTCCGAGACACCAACCAAGGAACGCCGTAATACGAGGAGGTTTGAGAAATAGAAGCAAGGCTTGAGAAACGCAAAAGTGGCCGTTGCTGAATTGGATGATATGTCGTGGCTGTTTACCTCTTCCTGACGCAGAAGAAGAGACCAGTACGACCAAGGAACCACAAACATCCCAGGAAACGCACCAAGGCAAGCGCTGCAGTGGCCCACAGAAGGGCCTGGAAGAAATGCGCTGTTCGGCTTGAGGCACTTGACTGTGATGACATTAGCAAAAGTAATCAAGAAGAGAGGCATAGACTTACCGAGAAACCGAAGCGGTCGAAGTTGTCCTGGGTAATTACAACAGCGAGGGTAGCGTTGGAACCAATCCAGGCCGTGCAAAGATGAGTACGGAAAGACTTGTACGAGTCTTCAAGCGTCTTCTCGTCGCTCTCGACAGGTGGGACGTAAGGAGCAAGAGCACGCTTGACAGTAGCCTCGAACTGGCTGTCAATATCGGCCTGGGGCAGATCCGGTTCCTCAATGACGTTGTGCTTGCCGTCTGATCCCTTCTCCGTCTTCGCTGAGGGAAGTGCATCAGCCTTGTCGGAACCCTTGGTACCCCAAGAAACATCGTGCCAGTTGGAAAAGGCGTAGACGTTAAGGATGTTGATGTAGGACGACATGATGAGCAGATACTGCGGGAAGGAGGTGAACATGTGCCAGGGGTCCATGTAGAGGAACGATGCAACGTAGTAGAGACCAAAGGTCGCCCCAAGAGCAATGATAATGATACCAACACCGTCGGATGAGAAGAACGATTGAGCAAACTTTTCCGGCGAGGTGGTATCGAGCTTCTGCGATGTAGGATTCGTGAAAGCTTGTACGACAAGGTAGATGGACAGGATGACGATGTAAAGTTGGATCAGACCGAAGACACAGAATGAGATCAGGTAAGACCATCTCGAACCCTTTGGACGATTACCGAAAGCCAGAATGAATTGCAGGACGAGGAAGCCGAGGTAGATGTAAGTGACAACCGTGTTGAAGATGGGCGTAGCAGTGTTTCCGAATGGCCAAGCGTCTCTGTCTCCGGTTTTGGTACCGACAAGACTCATGATGACAACGGTAGTAAGCCAGAAGGAGGCCATGGAAAACCAGGTGAGAATCGTTTGGAAGGTGTTGTACAGCATCTGGACGTGGAAGAAGAACATGCGGATGAGGTTGTGGCCACTCTTGTACATGCGGCCGAAATGGAGCAGGGAGTAGATACCGGCAGCAAAGGAACCGTTCAACCAACGACGACGTTGACCGATCAGTTCTGCCGCGTCTTCGGGCACGTCAGTCTCTCCCTTGGAGGCCTTGATGTAGGTCAGATGCCACTTGGAGCCAGCCTTGGCGACAAGTTCGAAACACAGAATACGGTCCTCGGCCAAGAACATGTTCTTCTTGAAAATGTTCATGCCCTCGATACCCTTCTTTCCGAGAATCTTGGCAAGGGTATGGTCACCGTGGAAGTACTGCTCGAGCGGTCGACCCATGATAGCGCGGTATCGGTAGGCGGAGAAAGCACCGGGCAACACAGAGACGTATCCGAAGGAAGATTCCAGGGGCTTGTCGAGAATGTTACTGATCTTATACTCGAAGTTTTGCGCGGCAACCAGCGGGTTGAGGAGGTTCTTCCAGCCCTTGCCTAATTTTCGTTAGATCTTAAAATAATTTTACCGCAGCGTCAGAAAAACTTACCCAACATAGCGTGAATCTCACCGCAAGCACCACCAAGGTCCTTGTCGTTGTAGAAACCTTCCCAAAGGGCGAGGAGAGATTTGGGGCCTGGCTTGGTACCGGCATCAAGCAGAATACAGACTTCCGGGTTCAAGATGCGGCCAATGGCAGTGAAGAGCCATCTGTGCGAGTTGATTTTCTTGCTGTTCTTTTGCTTCAGGCAGAAAATCATCTGGACGGGAGGGAGCGTGCTGGCGCTGTCATCGTGGGGGCGGATGAGCTGTTGGTTAGGGGTAACCGACAATTGTGTGGTGTACTCAAACTGCGGATTTGTTAGCTGTGTGATTTGCTGTGGCGAAGACTGCAACGTACAATGTGAGCAACAGTCTCATTTCCATCAATATCCTTCTTCATGATACCATCTTGGTAGATACCGACAGTGGCGAGCAAATCGAGCGTGCCCTTGTCGCAAGGGTCAATACCGTCGAAAACAAGGCACACGACAATCTTCTGCCAAGCCGGACCACCCTTGTTCCAGAACTCGGATTTCTTCAAGTTGACAATGTCGCGGATGTTTTGCATGACACCGTGCAGGGTACGGGCGGTAAGAACTTTGTCTTCGTTGTAGTAGGTGATGGCGATGAGCAACTCAGTGTGGCGGTTGTACATGGCCGGACGCAGATTGTATCCGTTCTTGAGAGTGAAGTCATTGGGGTCACATGTCGCGGCCGTGTCTGGCGCCTGTCAGAACTGTATGTGTCATATCTGAAACGCGTGACTTACATCGCATGTGAGTAAACTCCTCGCTACCGCTCTCGAGGTCATTGCGGTACTTTGCCTGGATGGCATTCTGGATGGCCGAAGGCACCGGATAGTCGGCACTGAGGACGGAACCTTGCACAAGCTTAACCTTACGGGTCATGCCACGCTTGAGACCACCAGCAGCTCCTCCGCCAGGCTGCTGTCGCTGCCTCCATGCCTCGGTCGAGCTGGTCTCGCTCCTCTGGTATGGCGAAGGTGCCCGCTGGGGAGCGCCGAAGTCGCCAGCTGGGTCGTAGCCGCCAGTGGCGGAGTAGACGGAACCCTCATGGGCTTGACCAGGGTATTGTGTTGGCCTGTCGGTGGCATACGACTCGGTCAAGCTGTATGTTGAGTGTGGGCGGACTTCCGGGTTGCCGTAGAAGGGGTCCGAATGTGCACCAGTGGGGTTCTCGTGCAAGAGCGACTGGCCGACTTCCTCTTCATCGCGGGTGCGGTCGTACTGCGGATGCTGTTAGCCACAACGTCCTTTCTCGCCTTGGTCATCAGGGGCTCCTACGCCGGTGTGCGGTTCTCCCAGGTTGTAACCTTGGGGGTTGGTGTTGTTGTACGCCATGACGTGCTGCAGTCCACGTTGGGGTCCTGCAGATGGCGGTGTTTTACGGGGCGGTGGTGATGGAAAGCGAATGAGATGTTAAAAAAAAGGCAGCGAGCGGCCAACTGGGGGTGTCGCTTGATAAAGGCAGATGAATGTCTGGGGCGCTCTCAGGGCTGAGAAAGCTGAAGGGACGCGCACTAAACCCCTTGAAGCGGGCACTGGGATGGGGGGCAGATGCGCTAGGGAAACGGCCGCGCTGAAACACAGGTAATTGGTTGACCTCGCGTTTCGGAATGGATGCGGGCAGAGGCGCCTTTAACAGGAATGTCTTGGTGCGACGGGCCTTCTTGGGTGGGCGCGCTCTGCTCTTCAACAAGTGCAGACGAGGCAAAAAAACCACGGTAGAGGCGGTGACCACACGACGGAAGCACATGGACGATCCATCAGTGTCGTCTGTCAGTGTGGCACTAGCTGGCCACTGCACCTAAAATTAGACGGGGCCTTTGATCAGCTCCACGTTTGACCAGCACAGCCTCACACAAAATCATCGACACCGCCGTCCCCGGTCTCGTTCCCAAGCACAGAGCCCTACACAGTACCGTAAGCCTACTGCTTGGCCCACCGCTACATCCTAAGTACATGTCTGATGTTGGGACTTTGGAATGCTGACAAGCCCTTGTGGCGTGGCCATGGCGCAGAGACGCTGCATAGTTTGACTCTTGTAGTGTTTGCATCTACTCTTCATACGCCTAGGCCGCCGTCTTTCTGGCAAGCTAGGGGCTGCACGGTACGTCAGCGACCTTTGCAAGCCTGTTAGCTGTTCCGCACATGGGACCCACTCGGACAGATGCTGGATGCTCAGCACCCAGGTTTTCCACTCGGGGTTGCATGCGCTGGTCCTGTACCGCCATGTAACCCAGACTATACGGCTCTATAGTCGGAGCGACCAGAACTGCCGCCGTTTATTGGTATGTTGGTCTTGCCGCAGCCGCTTCGGACATCCCTTGGGCTTGCATAGTGACCTTCATCTCATTCGTTTGCTAGGGTGTACGATTGCGACGCAATAGCAGGGTCCGGCCGGTTGGCGACTTCTCCTGTCCGCGCGTGTGGGTCACGCATGTAGGCCTGTTCCTGGACCCTTTGAGATACATGTTAGAGTGAGTGAATGCACCACACAATGCCATGCATGACTGTCCACCGCGTTGTTACAATTTCGGAATGCGGCGGCTTTGCTTGGTCATATCTGCTTCGTCCAGGGCTAGGACCACTGGTTGCGGCGGCTGCCCATGTTCGAACCATCACACAAGACCGGTCGACTGCAACCTCTGAACTGTCTGTGCTAAAGACGCCACTGCAAAAGTGTTATGGAACGTAAAAAAAAAACCGAGCAGCCACACCTGCAGCCCCTTATGACATCAATAGTCATGCGTGCGCTCCTTCCATCTTCAGATCTATCCAACGACGCGGGGAAGAGCAGTTCGCACTTGCACCTTCCGTCATTCAGCGTCCCAACAGAGTGCCTACCTCTATTTAGGTACTTTAGAAACTTCACCTACTTTAGATGTTGTTCCCTGTACACACTCTGTTTATTCACCAATCTATCGCTTGTGGTTTATTTCTGTCGTCCTAGATGCTTTTCGCCCGTATCGGCATAATACCTGTCACGTCAGTCGCACCATCGCGCTGACCATATTTCTCACCCCATCTATCAAACCGGTACGAGCCGTCATGGCGTCAACCTCCCGACTGGTGGGCCTACCCAGATCAAAAGGCACGATTCCAAGACCCACAGCCACCATCTCCTCCGGAGAGTCTCCAGCGCATGCCAACGTCAATCGCTTGCCTGATAACCCAAACTTTGTCCATCCGGCTCACGTGATACCTCCACCAAGCTACCCGAGCGTCGAGAACCTTATCATTGTGTGCTGCCATGCCATCTTCCTTCCTGATGCAGATGCACCTGATTTCCCACTGCACAGCCCTCATTATGAGTCCAATTGGCTTCTGGCACCCTTCCAAAAGTCGAACACGAGTACGAATAAACTAAGCGAACACGAGACGTTTCTCGCACATGTCAAAGCGGGCATTGACGCCTTGACCGTGGGAACAGACGTAGAGCATCCCACCTCAAGTCTTCTCGTATTCAGTGGTGGTGCTACCAAACGCTCTGAATCCCTTAAAACAGAGGCGCGATCCTACTATCATGCAGCACTAGCAGAAGAGTTGGCGAGCGGACATATGGGTGGTGGTCCTGCCCATCGGTATGTCAACCATCTCGCGTGCATTTCAACTTTATCCTGGTGCTTTGGCTTCTAAAAACAGGGGCCCTTGATAATCATGTTGCTGGCATAACATTACTGACTTGGGCCGAAGATTATACAATAAGCGCTACATATTGCTAGAAGAACAAGCTACCGATTCTTTTCAGAACCTGCTCTTTAGTATCTTGCTATTCAGAAAGGCAACCGGGAGGTACCCCAAGCAAATCCGTGTCATCACACATGCCTTTAAAGCGAAGCGCTTCCTCGAGCTACATGCACCGGCTATTCGATGGCCACAGGACCGTATCCAGGTCCAAGGGATTGATCCATTAATGGATATGGATGCACTAAGCGATACTCTCAGAGGAGAAGAGGAGTCCGGGTATGCGGCATGGAACGCCGACCCCATGGGAACTGGCGACCTCCTAGGCGGGAAGAGACAGTTACGTGGATGGGATGCTAGTAAGGCAGCGAAACACTTCACGGATCTGGAAGATAGCGTCAAGAAGCTATTCCAAGGCATAGCGTCAGACGATTTACCATGGATAGAAGGAAGCGTAGGTACTGTCCTACAAGTGTCCTAGCGCTACTCTTTTGTTTGCCGAATCAATCTGTTAGGCTCCCCACAAAGTACTACATCCTCTCCCAGAGGTATCCATTTCACATATCGCAACCTTGTCATGGGTAACCGCTCACGACCACCATCCGGGCAGACCTGTACGCCACCTTTGCCTAGCCAGGTTGGTGCAATTGTAACAATAACGGAATTAACAAGAGAGTATGCGGGACTAGGACCGAGGAAATCATTGATTACAAAACCACCGCCCTCGATCATGACACTCCCAATACCTTCCTGCTTCAATGCATCGAGAATGATGTGCCACGAGGAACCAGCCTGGCTCACATCTCTTGCTGATAAACCCAGAAACAAGAACTTCCCTCCCACGTTTTCGAGGGTCGCTCTTCGGTCTGCGGGTGGATTTGTAGAGGTGACAATGTAAGGTGCCTTGCCCTTCCCTTCCTTGGCGAGTCTCAACACCTTGCTCTCTTCATTGAATTGCCAGCGACCATGTGGATCTACGACGACTGGCCTTGGTTGGCCAACGAGTCCTTCGCCACCATAACCGCCAACGCCCTCTAGTCGACAGTTCAAGGACGGATTGTCGGCAATGGCTGTGCCTGCTCCAATCAAGATGGCGTCATATCTAGATCTCAGAAAATGGGTCATGGCCTTTGAACGTGGCCCAGAAAGGGCCGTCTGCACACCGGGAGCAATAGCGAGCTGGCTGTCGAGGGAGGTAGCGAAAGTCAGGGTGACGAAAGTTTTCGCGATATCTTCTGGTCGCATACATTCTGCAGAGGAAGGGAGTGGTATGTACTCCTCAAGCTGATGTCTATCGGAATCTGGAAATTGTAAGGCATCTCGGGCTGGTGCAGTCATGGTGACTATATCTCCAGGTCGTGTATATCGCGACCGTAACTTCCGCTAAATCCAAAGTTTTTAATTGTTTCTTGGTAGTGAGTTTTGAAGGTTTCTCATACCGCGAGTGAAGGCAAGAAGTTGTGAGAGGGGCAAGCCCTCCATGCTGACTAAGGCAGTGAAGTGGCGCTGGATTCGTGTTCGGCCGCGGTCGCACCCCACGTTGAACCACGGCCCGACGATCGTGGCAGCCTGCCCAACTATTCTTCCCTCTCGACTTAGAAACATTTCCTTTGGCGTTCAAGACATTCTCTCTCGTCGCTTTTCTTTTAGCTGCTATCTACCGCGCCTTCTCTGCTACAGCCGGCCGCGTGCCTCTACCCGCCGCCGCTTACCTCCGACTCCCTCACTCGCGCCTGCTGCACACACGCGATCACGTCTACGAAACGGCATTACATAGCCAGTTACTCCGTGCAATACCGCCAAGATGATGAAAATATGGTCTATGGCAAGTTTCTCATCCCTAATGCAGGGTTCGGCGACTAGTTAAAATGCTAACACAGGCTACAGAAGAAGCAGCAGCAACAAGATGAAGCCGCAGCGGCTGCCTCAAGTAAAAAGAAGAAGGTTACTCCAGCTCAGCTGCGCACACAGAAAGGCACGCAACCAATTAGCCTACCCATCTTGCGCGCAAATGCTAAATGAGTGTAGATCTCGAAGAACTCTCTCTCGGCACAACAATGAAGACACACTTTCCCAACCCTGACGATATCCTCAACTTCGAACTTACTATCGATCCCGACGAGGGCATGTACAAGGGTGGCCGTTTCAAGTTTGACTTTAAAATCAACCAAAACTTCCCACACGACCCACCGAAAGTCAAGTGCACCCAGAAGATATACCACCCGAACATCGATCTGGAAGGCAACGTCTGCCTTAACATTCTGCGCGAAGACTGGAAACCAGTGCTGAACCTGAACGCAGTTGTTGTCGGTTTACAGGTACGGTTTCGCAGAGTATGTAGAAACATGGACAAGTGCTGACAGACGACAGTTTCTCTTCCTCGAACCGAACGCGTCGGATCCGCTAAACAAAGAAGCTGCAGAGGACCTAAAAGTGAACCGAGAAGGCTTCAAGCGCAATGTGCGCGCATCGCTGGGTGGTGGTACGGTCAAGGGACAAAGCTTCGATCGCGTCCTCAAATGAACGGTTATATAAGTTCAGGGTTGACCAGCGTCTTGTACAGCGAGCCTGATGTGGGTTGGTACGGAAGTTTTGTCTTGGAGGCATAAGAACCGGCACCAAGAAGTTGGTGTCAAAGAAGCGTTGAGGTCGGCGGCTCGGGATACAATACATACCAAACACCAGGGCTGCATATATTGAGCGTTGCATTATGTATAGGGAGCGTGGCGTCGCATACGGGCGGATATAGCATTCTGATTTCCTGTCAATGTGATGGAGTATTTGCGTATAGCACGGTGATACCCTTTGTAAATTCTGCTTTACACAAGTGAATTCAAAGCCCGTGGCCTTTCCGCGAGGTTCGCTTGGAATGTTGCGTTATGATGCTAACCGACTGGGATGTATATCCCATCTTCATGCCCTGGAGCTTGAGTTCTGCCAGGTACAACCTCTTCGAATGCGCGACCGTGTAAGAATATTTTCCTCTTTGGTGGGAACGCGCGAACAAAGAAAGATGACAGCACCAAGTTAGTTATCAGCCGCCATGCACTACACGTATGACTGTGTTGAGCGATGCTAGACGATGATACGAACGACCGCCGTCGGAGAGACGCATTTCTCCCCGAAGACCCTCTAATACCCCTGCTAGAGCGTCGGAGCGGTCGGAGCGGGGCGGGTTCATTGGCCACGGATGCGAACGGCCAATTCTGGGGCAGCGATAATCGGCGTGGCCTAAGCTCGCTCAGTCGAAATTCTAGCTGCTGTAAAGTGTCGAGCCGCAACCTTAAAAGCTCGTTGTCCCCGCCGAATACCTTTCTGACCCCAAGATACCCCTCACACACTTTTCACGATGGCTTCAAGACTTGTTTCCCGCGCTCTCCGCCA